TTTCCCTTTCCCTTCCCTCTTCCTTGTTCTCTCTAAAAATCTTTAAAAGGAAAAGAGAGAGAGAGAGATGGCAAGCATTATCTTTGGAAATGGACTTCATATGTCCTGGAATATAAGGTGGATGGGGCGGGGGTAGGGAGGTGTCTTCTGGTTGAGAGGGCCCTGAGGCAAGTTACAGAACAGGGATACAAGGACAGATGAGGCTGGAAGGGAACCGAAGAGGGAGTCAGGGTAACAGACACAAGGAGCTGGTCATTCTCTAACAACGCCACAATCCTATCCCAGGCCCCACAGGGATAAATCTAGTAACCAAGGATAAGATGGGAAGATCATGAAGGAATAAAAAGATACTTGGCAGTTTTCATGTTTGCATGTTCAAATGGTTAATTAAAATCATTAAGGACAAGGATAAAGAAATTTCAGTGTGTATGTACTTTTCTATTGAATCCTTGGTTCTCATTCCACTGGAAAACATATACACAGATCACATGAAATGATTGGGGGGAAAAAGTACAAGTGACACCGAGGGAAGGTGGACAATCCAGGTGACACTTTCAACAGAAGCTCTGCCCACTTCTAATTCTAAGGGCAAAAACACCCCTGCTGAGTTATTGTATCGGTACTACCTATTTACTGAATGCAATTATAAAAGCACCATAAAATTGGGCATAAGGATGAGCATCTGGTTAAATTTGTAAGAACAATTATTCTTCAAGAAAATGTAAAGATTCAAGGCTCACTGTATAATTTATACAAAGCCTCATATAATTGACTTGCTGCTTCTGTTACGACCGACCGGATGGATAACAGACCGAGGCAAAAGCCCAGAGGGAAAATGGTAGGGCGGGGCAAGGGAGGGAGAGGGGCTCACTGCAGCAGGGCTTTGGTCTTCCTGGTGGGGTCCTCGGGCTTGAAGTTCTTGTAGGCGTCAACTTCGTGTTCTATGGACAGCATCTGGGCCTGCAGTTTGTTCCTGAAGTTTGGCAGGGTGTCTCGAATGTGGTTGGTGAGTTGCTAAATAAAACAAAATAAAAATCTCACACACTCATACGACAGGTTGAAGATTAGCTCGTGAGGTTGAAGATTAGCTTGGGAGACAAAAACTCGGCCTTCACTGTTTTTCTTTTTTTTAATATATTTTTAATTGTTGATAGTATTACAGATATCTCTCATTCCCCCCGACCCCTTTTAACTCCCCCTCCGCCCAGCCCCTACCTATTCCCCCAGGTCTTTACTACCCTATTGCCTGTGTCTATGGGCTATGCATATAAGTATGTAAGTTTTTTGGTTTATCTCTTCTCGTTCCCCCAACCCCACATTGAGGCATGTCAGTCTGTTCCATGCCTCCATGCTTTGCTCCACTGTTTTTCTAATTGCTCAACACTGGAGGAATGTAGAGACAGGTAGTCAGAAGAAGCTCAGACCCTCTCCTCCACTGCTGGAGGCGATGCTCGAAATGTCTCCGAGTTACTCGCCGAGGCCATCTGGTGTAGCCTGTTCCAATGCAGCTGATGTTACCAATGAGGATGCCTAGCAACACCCGGTAGGGATCGATGATCAGATCACTTACCTTGTCCCAAGAAACCTTAAGTTACAATGTGGTGGAAACGAAGGAGTGGAGAGCTACGCGGGGTGCCTGACGTTCTCAGGAGACATGGCTCCCCACCCTGGTGGAGCTCAGAGGAACCTGTCGGCTGTGAACCTCCCCTCCATTCTGCAGCCCAAACAGGCGAAGCTCTTGGCTCTACCTCTAGGCCCAGTCTTACCACGCTGGGTCACTGGCTTCTGCCTTCAACAGGTTACCTATACAAATGTGCGCTGAAATGTATACCCCTGGTTCACTGCTCCTCAATAAGTATGTCTTTCTGCTTGAGCACTGTTCTTTCAATAATATTAAGGTGGATGATTCTATTCAAGAGAATAGTAACAATGTGGCTGTAAATATTTATATTCATTTTTAAAATTCCTGTCATTTAAGCTGCATGTCTTATGTTAAGAAAAAATGAATATAAAAATAAGAAATATGAATTCCAAAAGTCACTTACATATTTCCTTAATTGTTCTTGTTGCTTGAAAGCACATTAATTTTTACCTGATTAAGGACCTTCTGTAGGTGCGGGGTCCCCATCCGGTCGGCAATATGTCTGTAAGCCGGGTGTGAGAGAAAAAATTTCCTCTCCGCCAGCATGGCAGCCTTGATGTCCTTCTTCCCATCGATGTCCTTCTGGCTTCTGTTCACCACCCCCACGTAACCTGAAACAGAACACACACCTATGGTGTTTGGGGCACTCTCCAAGGCTCTCAAAGAGGCTGAATAAAAAAGGCAAAATTATTAAGGCCAAGAAATGGGTCCCTTTTCAAAATTCAACTTGAGACATCAGTATTTAACGAAGGCTGGTTGATTTGGCTAATGGCAATATTTCAGCATTAACAATAATGTCCTTTACCCTTAAAAGCTCTGTACATTTTAATAAAGTATGTTTCTGCTCAACCAGTGTGTCTCAGTGGTTGAGCGTCCTGGGTTCGATTCCCAGTCAGGGCACATTCCTGGCTTGTGGGCTCGATCCCCATTAGGGAATGTGCAGGAGGCAGCCGATCCATGATTCTCTCTTATCAATGTTTCTATCTCTCACTCTTCCTTCCTCTCTAAAATCAATTTTTTTTAAACTTTTTTTTTAAAAAATAGAGTATGTTTCTTAGCAGTTTTGCCATATAGCAGGTAAGTCAGACTTAGAAGAGGACAGTATATATTTATGCAGTCTTTGAATACTTATACCCTTCCTTCCAACCCCCCGCCCCTTTTTCTATTTTCTTGTTCCTATTAAGGAATACTTTCCCCCGTGGATCATTTTTCATGTGTCTATTCCATAAAAAGTGTAGCTAATCATAAACCCATTCCTCACACCTGAGGCAGCATCAAAACCAGGCCTCTCACTGGCCTTCCCATTGTTTCTCGGCCACGTCACCAAAGGAATCCCTGGGGGGCACACGGTACGTTACCCCTGCGAAGAGGCAGCAGCTTATTCTCCAGAATGTCCCTGGCATCCGTTCCCTCATCCATAAGGTCCAGTTTGGTGATGACTCCAATGGTTCTCAGACCTGCAGTACCAAACAAACCCATTGCACAGTTTGCAGGAAATGAACAAATTGTAGAGACATATTTCTCCCCATGCTAAGCATAACACACTCATATGTCTGGTCCTTTTCCTGCTCCTCTCTCTAATCTACTGCTACCCCAGGCCAGTCTGGGGGACTCCAATGAGATGAGGAGGAGAATTGTGAAACCACCCATCCATGAGATAACTTTCTGTTCAACAGAGAAAAAAATAAACAGTGTATCACCAAATACTTTTAAATTCATGAGTTTATTTTTGTATCTCGCATACATGGCAATTATACATTTAAATTTTCCTCCCAGGTTCCACACATAACATTCATGCTTAAATTTTTTTTTATGTATGACCTTATTTAAAAACATAATGGGTCAATGATGAGATTGTACTAAAAATGAAGGCTTATTATTGATCCAGTTCTGGAGCTGGGTCCAGTACAGCATTAAGCTAGTTACAGCCCATCAGTCCATTGTGTGTGGGGTCCACACCGTCTGGGCCATGTGAGCAAATGCAGAATGTGAGAGCCCCACAAGCCAGGAGCACGAGCCAAGAGCAAGAGAGAGAGAGAGCTCCTTTGTTTAGAAGATTATATATCTCAAATTTTCCCATGTTGCAGTGGCCACCCTACTCCGGCCAATGACCTCCTCCCCGGTGTGACTGGCAGACAAGTACCTTCCCTATGTCACTCAGACTTTACTGGGCATGTGTCTATTTGGCCTTCCCTTTGCTTCGTTCCAGTTATTTATAACTGGGTTCATGACAACGGAATCCATAGAATATACCTAATCACTTTGAAGGTATTAAGAGATTTCAACTTCTGAAGGTGAGGCTGAGGGTGCATTAGTGATAAAAAGAATATCTAAAATGTTTTTAAAATCAAGAAATAGTAGTATAAAAAGATCACATAAAAGTATGGAGGTGAATGCAAAAAGAAAAAGCTAAAATGGTTGAAAGTGGAAGCCTCTGGAAATAAGTAATCAAGAGTTGGGAGGGATGGGGAAGGGACTGATATTTTAAAGCTACATACATTTAAAACATTAATAAAAATAGAAGTTGAATTTTAAAAGCATTTGCTTTACTGCTCCCTTATTTATAAGAAGGCAGAGGAGTCTATGCTTGGTGGTTTGCCCAAGGAGATCCCTGGCTTTTTCATGTTTAGATGTACAAAAATAGGCAGCTTAAAACCACCAGTGAAGTCCTGCTACCAGACTGCAGACAGACCTCAAAGCCATGGCCAGAGAGTTTCCAAGGCAGCATGTTTTGCAAACACTTCACTGGAAATCTGAAGACTTAGATAAAAATAATAATAGAGACCGATTATTGAGCCCTGATTATGAGCCCGCCTCTTGTAGGGCTTGAAATGACTCTATGCAGTAGGTACTCTTATTTCCTCAATTACACAGATGAGGAAAGGGGGACTTGGAGAGGAACTATACGCTGTGTAAAAGCTCACAGCCTGTAGGGCGTGAAACCCAGGCAACCTACTTCCATTTTTAATCCCTATATTTTTCTGCCTTCCAATTCTTCGCTAGATTCTACAAGTGATTATCTGTGTTCTTTGGCAAGTTCATTAGATATCTCTTTTGAGCCCAGAATTCTGGGATGAAGAACAACTCCCAGAATTAGAAGAAATTAGATAAAGTAATAAGTAAACTAAAGAGTAATTTAATAAAATTCTTGCCCTCCAACTAAAAGGAAAATATAAATAAGTTAAGAGCTAATAAGGAATGGGTGATAGTGTTTCAATTATGTTTCTCTTCAGGAAATAATAGCCACAATGATGAGCGCTGATGAGTTCTAATGAAGACCTTGAAAAGACCCAATGCACATCAAAGGTCTGATTCTTCTATGGCCTAGGGGCCAAGAGCACTGACCCAAGCACTGCCTCTTATTAGCTCCAAGACATTAGTTTCCTCATCAGGTGCAACCACATCAATAGCAGAACCATTCGTCACAGCTTACATTTGATGCCGGAATAATTATTTTTTCTCTTTTCATTAAATTTTAGAGAGAAAGGAAGGGAGGGAGAGAGAGAGAAAAAAAAATAAACTGATGTGAGAGTCACTCACTACTGGTAATCGAGCCCACAACCTGGAATTGAACTGGCAACCTTTCAGTGCACTGGACAATGCCCAACTAACTGAGCCACACAGCCAGGGCTGGAATAATTTTTAACAGCATCCCCTTTAACTCTTAAAGGACCTCCTGTTTGAAGAATAAATTATAGCACAGCCAGCGTGGCTCAGTGATTGAGCGTCAACCTATGAACCAAGAAGTCATGGTTCAATTTCCAGTCAGGGCTTGATCCCCAGTAGGAGTTATGCGGGAGGCAGCCAATCAATAATTCTCTCTCATCATTGATGTTTCTATCTCTCTCTCCCTCTCCCTTCCTCTCTAAAATAAATTAAAAATAATATTTTTTTAAAAAAGAATAAGTCATATGTTCACTCTGACTCATCAATAAAATGAGAAACCAGCAAGTGAGGAACTTGGAAGTTGCCACTGTGTCCACACAATAAGTCAAAAGCAGAACAGACTGAAAAATCAACAAATCCTTCTTAGATTCATCAGACAAATGGAGTCATAAAGCATCGCCCCCCCCCCCAAATTTGGAGAGACAGACAGATGTACTAATATACAGACATTTCACAACCCAGAAGCAGAAAACTCTGAGGGACCCGGGCCCAGGTAGGAACACCTGTGATTGCTGAATTGCGGAATGTTCAGTGTGGAGAATCTCAGAGTAGAAAACTGAAGGGGGACCCAGTCGTAATAGGTGCCAATACTTTTGTTAGTTTTGCCTCCAGGAGCTCAACCAAATCCTCACAGTGATTATCTGAGAAAAATCCCCTCGTGCTGCCGGCACTGGGAGGAGACAACCTGATTTTAAAAATGGGTGAAAGACTGTAAAGACATCTATCCAAAGAAGATAGACAGATGGCAGGTATGGATCTGAAAAGGTGCTCTAGACCACATGTCATCAGGGAAATGCAAATGAAAGCCACAGTGAAATAATACTACGCACCAACTAGAGTGGCCAAAACCCAGAACACTGACAACGCCAAATGCTGGTGAGGAAGTGGGACAACAGGAACTCTCGTTCGTTGCTGATGGGAACGCAAAATGGAGCCGCCACTTTGGAATCCAGTTTGGCAGTTTCTTACAAAACTAAACATAGTCTTACCATGGGGCCCAGGAATCGCACTCCTTAGTATTTACCTGAAGGACATGAAAACATAACCCCCCCCCCCCCCCAAATGTT